GGATTTTAAATCTTGTCTCATCAGTGCATTGGGTAGCTAGAGATTTATTAGTAGAGAAAGTATATTGTAATAGTTTAGAGAGCTCCTTTTCCCGATGCTGTGTGGCCTGGAACGTATCAACACTGATTCCTGGATACTCTGCGGTCTGGTGGTTTCTCTATAAGAGGTAACCACATTTCTCAGTGAAAAGATACTGAAATTTAACATTTAGAATTTTGGTTAAAATGATAATGCCATATTTTGTTGAGTAGAAACTCAGCATAAGCCGAAGTTCAATGTTGGCTTTTTACAAAAAAGCTCATAAATTTTCAGATCCTCATTTTCCTAGAAACTGGATTATATGAAAAATACAGGATGAATCTGGAGAAGATGGTCATGGAGAAGATAGGGCTTAGTAGCCTGTCGCACTCTGTTCATTATGGGAGGGCTGTGATGCAAGAGAGGGGTTGGATAATATGTGTGCATGCTAAGAACAGCTGGGGCAGAACATCTGTTAAATATTGGATGCTGTTATTATCAATTATTATCCAACAAAAAGCAGTCAGAGTCAATGGGTGTTAAAAAGGAGATTTGAATTCAGTGGAATGTTTCTCCTTATAAAAGTGACAGCTCTTCATGGGAGTGAACCAGCACATCCTAGAAATCTGGTGAGGAGGTGAAGTCACCTCTCACATTGAGAGCTCATTACAAGCCGAACCCTTGCGTTCCTTTTTTTACCCTATTCTATGTCCCTCTGGAAACTGCTGTCATACAGTGCTGTCATTATCGAGGACTACTCCACTTCCTAGCATGGAGGAAATTGTGTGCTATACAGAATCTCAGCAATGGTTTAAAGATGTATAATGTTTAATTGGGGTCATTGCCTTATACTCTATTTTCATCAGCAGTAATATAACCCTTAATAAAAGCCCCCCTCCTCCCCTCAGAGTATTTTCTGAGCATTGGAATGTAGTATAGGAGGAAAGCAGCTGGTCCTACCTTTCCCTATCCTATTTTGCGGACACTTATGCCTCTTAGTACAAAATGTTGTTTTTTTCACATGGGACTAATTAATATATGATGTTTCTTTTAGCCCAGAGATAACCCTGATGATTTCTTAAAAAATTCATTATTGGAATCTGATAGTGCTTTTATTGGTGAGTATATTTATTTATTTTATCAAACTATGTTAACATATTAAACATTTATATTTCCTTTAAATATTTTCAAAAATATTTACAAAATTAATATTTCACTCTTAGTAAGTAATCATCAAACGTGATTTACAATGCTTTCCAAATCAGAATAATCAAAATTAATTTTAGAAATCATAGGAAGGACTTCCAGTCAAAATGGTGAAGTAGGTAAAGGCCATGCTTGCCTCCTCCCACATTTTGAATTTGCTCGCTTTAGGATGAGGGCAGAAGGGATAGGGGTTAAGGCAGCTCTGCTTGGGAAAGGATGTGTGGGCAAGCACATTGTTCCTTTGTTGAGTGTTCCTCCAACCTAGCGGGCAGGCACCAATCTAAGCTCTCCATTAACCTGGGAGTACTGTTCGCCCCACCCAACATGCTTGTCCTGCTGAAGCCTTTAACAGTAGCTGCTCCACATAAGTGACCTCTCTCAGCTTTCACTGTGAACTCTCCTAAAATCTCTTAAGGTACACAAAACCCCAGGAGTGCAGCAGCTAGCCTCTGTGTGCCCTGTACTTTTGCTAAGTGGCCCCAAAATTGGCATAAGTTGCAGCCAGCTTGTAATGTAGCTTAAACTAAGCAGCTACAGGACTGACACCGTGGTAGCTGGCCTCAATTCACATCATGGTGCCCACCAAAGGGTCCCCAGCCAGCCTTGATTCACAGCATAGCCTCTCCCAAGCACCTCCAATCCCAGCACAAGTAGCAACTAACGGCAGATCATTTGGTAGCTCCCACCATAGGCCCCAAGCCAGGCACAAATGGTGGCTGAACATGGCTTTCTGCAGAGCCCCCTCCTAAGACTCCAGACCATGCGAAAGCACCATCCAACCAGCTCCACAATGATACACCTGAAGGGCAGACTTGTCTGGCACCAGAGCTCCCATAAAGAGACTTCTGCATGAGCTCAGACCCTGCACATGGTAGAGCATGTAAAAGAAATCAAAATTGTATGCTATAGCACTCTTTACTGAATGCAAAAGAGAGACCTCTGATTATCAACTTACTAAATGCTACTTATAAAACTTTTCATCCAAAAACAACATAATACACATTCTTCAAGTGCACATGCAATATTCTCAAGGATAGGACCAGATGTCGAGACACACGAGCCTCAATAAATTTAAGACTGAAATCATACCAAGCATCTCCTTCAGCACGATGGTATGAAACTAGAAATCAACCATAAATAAATTGCAGGACACAAAAAATCAGTATACAGAAGTCTGTTTCTCTATAGGCAATGAATTATGAGAAAAAAATGAAAATTCTATTTACAATCGCAACAAAAAGAATAAAATACCTAGAAATAAATGTAACAAAGAAGGCGAAAGACCTGTACACTGAAAAGAGCCAATACAACGCTGAACAGAAGTGGAGGGCTAACACTACTGGACTTCAGGACTTCCTATAAAGATACAGTGGTCAAGACAGTGTGGTACTGGCAAAAGAATAACAGACAAATAGATCAGTGGAACAGACCCACACAAGTGTAGTCCACTGATCTTTGACAAAAGAGCAAAGGCAGTGTAACTGAGGAAAGACAGTCTTTTCAACAATTGGTGCCTAGAACCAAACAGTACATGCAAAGAATCTAAATGCAGACTTTACACTCTTCACAAAATAAACTAAAATGGACCTTACAAGAACTCCAAGAAGATAACAGGAGAAAACTAACAAGAACTTGGGTATAGCAATGACTTTTTAGATACAACAGTAGTACAATTCATGAAAGAGATAACTAGGCTTCATTAAAAATTCATGTTCTGTGAAAGTGTCAAGAGAATGAGAAGACCACCCACAGACTGGGAAGCAATATTTGGAAAAGATAACTTTGAAATAAGAGTGCTATCCAAAATACATAATCACTCTTAAAAGTCATCAATAAGGATAATGATAACCCAATTAAAAGATGGGCAAGAGATCCAAACAGACACTTCATTAAATAAGTATATAAATAGATGCGCTACATCATGTCATCAGGGAAATGGAAATTAACACAACAATGAGGTACCACTACCTACCTATTAGAACGGCCAAAATGGACAACACCAAATGCTGGCAAGGATGTGGAGGAACAGGAATTCTCACTCCTTGATGGTGGGAATGCACAATGGTACAGACACTTTGCAAGACAGTGTGGTTTTTGTACAAAACTAAATGTACTCTTACCATACCATCTAGCAGTCACATTCCTTGGGATAAATATCTAACCACTGTGCTGTACACTTGAAATTAATATAATATTGAATGCCAACTGTAATGGAAAAAAAGAAAGAAGAATACCAAACGTTGGTGAAGATGTGGGAAACTACCACTTTCTTATAATGTAAAATGGGTGGAACAACTTTTGAAATGGTTTGGCAGTTCCTCGAAAAAGGCTAAATGTAAAGTTTCCCAGTAGTTTCACTCCTGGGAAAATACTCCAAAGAAATGAAAACATGACCACAAAAAAAGACATGTACATGAATGATCATAGTAGCCTTATTAATAATTGCCAACTAGATACAATTCAAATGTCCATCAGCTGGTTAATACATTGATAAAATGTGACATATCCATGTGATAAGAGTACTTACAATTCAACAATGAAAAAAGAATCAGCTACTGATATGTTACAACATAGATCAATCTCAAACACATGCCAAGTGGAAGGCAACTATTACATTGTGTAATTACACTCACTGGAGTCTCAGGAAAGAGTGAAATCTGGACAGGCAGGAGTGGGAAGTGATTGCCAGCGAGCACAAAGGAACTTTCTGAGGCGACAGAAATGTTTTAAAACTAGATTATAATGACATCTGCACAATTCTGTAAAAATCACAGAACTATGTACATTTATAGTGGGTGGGTTTTATTATATGTAAATAACATCTTAAAGCCAGTAAGAAACAGTCTGGGTTTAGACAAGTGAAAAGATTTGAAATGGACTTCTCCCTGTGTGGTCCTTCTAGGTGCGTATGGTGAGACATATCCTGCCTTTGAAGAGGACGCCCTCCTTCCACCCTCACAGCTGCCCTCTGCAAGGGAGCGCAGGAGGAGCAAATGGAAAGGACTGGCCTCTGTATGTATGAAATGCCCTTTTCTTTTTTCCTTTTAGGAGTGAGGTCTGGGTTCTGGCCCATCCTAAATTGGCGTGGTCCAATAAATAAAGGCAGTGGCTCTGTAATATGGTGGACATGGATCTGAATCTAGGCTCTACCACCAAATAGCTGGATGACCTTGAGCAAGTCATTGAACTCATTGCCTTGGCTTCTTTGAAGTAATATTTTCCTATCTCCTAGGGTGGCTGTAAGTATAAGCCTGGTACTTGGCACAGGATCTCTGCCCTATAAATAATTCCTTACCCTAGTTTCCTTCCTTCCACCTGCAGAATATATGGAATTCTGAGAAGGCACAGGAGGCAAGTGATACCATTTATTGGAAAGCCTGTTATATAGATAACATGCCAAGGTCACATAAAACATGCAGACGACCCTGACCAAATGACAAATGCTGTTACTAGATCATATGTATGCACAGCTTTACCACGTGGCAAGACTTGTTTTCCTATCAACCACTAATCTACTTTCTGTCTACAGATTTGCCTTTTCTGGGCACACAAATGAAAGCATACAATATATGATCATTTGTGACTGGCTTTTTTCCTTTCAAAGGTCATTTAAGTTACAGCTTGTCAGGACTTAATTCCTTTTATTAAATAATATTTCATGTATGGATAGTCTACATTTTTTAATCAACACCTGATAGACATTTAGGTTGTTTCCACTTCTGTCTGTTATGAATACTGCTTTTAACATCTGTGTACAAGTTTTTTGATATTCTCACCTCTTGTGTGTGTATGCCTAGGAATAGAGTTGTTGGGTTATATGGTAACTGTGTTCCACCTTTGTCCAGTGTGGCAGTGTTTCATCTGAGCCTGCATGGATAAACACCGAGAGTTAGAATGTAAATGTTAGGTTTTCATTTGTTTTATTTTGTTCATCACACTGTGTACTTATCAAGGGCAAAAACATGTTTTGATTCACCTGTTAATTCTGAACATCTTTCATGTTAATGATCATTTCATTTCTGAAGTTCTGTTTTCTCACTACAGGATAACAGTCTTCCTAATGTACCACCAGATGATCTCTCTTTAAAATCTGTATCCAGTATAAATATTGATCAGATTAGAATGAGAAATGAAGAACGAATGCGAAGATTGAATGAACTCCAGAATAAACCTATTAATACAGGTAAATGGCCAGTTTTAATGGCCTATAGCAGATTCTGTAAGGAGTCTAACAGGCTGACATGGCAGCTTTCCCTTACGGCTGGGGGACTGATGGAATGAGTTTGAAATCAAGGGGCCTCTATCACACATCCTGCAAAACCGGGACTCGGGATTAATTTTGCATCAGATTAGGGGTACCCTTTTCTGAGTGGGTTCTAAACAAAGCTTTTGCTTATAAAGATGCGCAGGCTTTGCTTTCAGCAGGGAAAATGCTTCCTTACTGAAGTGAGAGAATATCAGAAATTAACTTAAAACATTCAGTTTTTTAGATTACACATACATTATAAATTGGTAGTATTACAAAGAAAACGATTTTACCTTTTTACTTGGCTTTCAGTATTGTGGACACAAAGTAGCCTCGTTAATTATTTCCTTTTGACCCATCAAAGTTTAGTCTTCTCATTATGTTGGGCTTTGGTGCCAGGCAGGCAGGACAGACAGTTCCTTAGGCAACTGGCGTGCTCCTCTGCCAGCCTGGACCACCTTTTCAATGCTGATGTTGTTAGTCATTAGGATAATGGGACAATTTTATAGCACACAAGACCTGCTGAATTATTAGCTTTAGCAGATAGTGATCTATTTGGACAATTTTCCTTAGTCTGTGAAGCTACATTACAATAATTTTCTTATAGCAATTTTCTTAACGCGTTAAGCACCATGTCAGTCCCCGGTGACTGACACTATACTTCCCATCTGGACCGGTCAGTCACTGGTGCCGCCAGCTTATTGGTGAAATCAGATATCGCGGGCTCAATGGAAAGGAAGACAAAACAGGCTTGGCGCTTAACGTCTTAAGATATTTTTAGATCTTACCTTTAATACTGTGTTAATTTAAAACTACTCATACACTCTAGCAGTCAGGGTGTCATGTGTTCTGACGGTAACTCCGTAACAAATACCAGCAAACATGGCAAACTGATGGAGTATTCATATCATACCTGGAAAAACATGGAACAGTGGGAAAGCAATGCTTTCTTTTTAGCTAAAAAGCATTTTCTTTTAACTGTATTGTGAGTTTTTTGTGCCTCAATTTCTTTTAGAAGCAATAAGTTGAATATTTAACAAGGATATTTTTAAATTGAGAAGATAGCATTTTAAGAATTTACTCTTTACGAAGGTATTCCACTGCTAAACTTTTAACATTGTCCTTTCAAACAGGAGCTTTTTGGTACGATGTGGATTAAATTGCACAGGTCCCTTTGCTGGGCTACTCCTTCACTGACCAGGAGATGTAATTAAAAAAAAAAAAAAAAAAGAAATTGACATCACAGGGTAGGAAGACAGATTTTCCTATTATTATATTTGTAAGCAAAATGTAGATGTGGAAGTTGAGTCCTAGCAATGCAATTAAAGAACGAAACAAATTAAGAGCTCGCTCTCAGTGGAGTGGAATGGAAGTCATTTCAATCCCGCCTAGTGCTTTCCCGAAATGACTTAACTTCCTAAACCTTGTTAAATAAAAAACAAAGTTAGTTGAAGGTGACACAAAGTAAGATGGCCCACACTCCTATGGCCAAATTAACGTTGGCTGCAGCCTCTGCTGCTGAGCTTGGGATGGTGCTGGTACCATGGAGTCACTTTCAGTTGCATTTTCTGTTTCATAAAATTGGGTCCCTCCCTGGGTTTGCTTTCCTACCTCTAAAGTGAGGGGTATCTGGACAAAACTATAAGCTTAGAACCTAACATTGTGGAGAAATGCAGAGCTGAGATTTGTGTTCACATCACCTGCCTGGCACCCACCCGAGTAACGTTTCTCTTGCTTCCTCTAGATGACGAGAGTTCACTAATTGACCCTGATGACTTCATGAAGCATGTGGGTGACGATGGATCAAACTCTGTAGCAACTGAACCCTGGCTCCGCCCGGGCACCTCAGAAACGCTGAAGCAGTTCATGGCAGAACAACTGGACCAAGAGCACCAGCAGGTTCCTGGAAAACCAGGCACTTTCACTTGGCAGGGCCTGTCTACTGCACACGGTTAAAATAAACCTGTGTTGGACCCAGCAGTGCCTTCTAAGGTAAAAGGGATGTTAACGCTGAACCTTTAATAATATGTGCTACTTTGACCCCTACCTGGAAGTTACTTATGTTATCTGTGTATAAGGTGATGTATATAATGTATATTATGTACAGAAATAAAAGGCCATGATTAATTTATATATAATGTAGAGTTATATAGAATTATTTTTGCCATAAGTCAGGGTGGTAATGAACTCAACTACCATACGTGCATTATTGTAAAGTAGAATGAATAAAACAAGTATTAACAATGTACATATAACTTGTTATATGTGCACTTGTTATTGAAATAATTCATTAGTAAATACATTAGCTGTAGCTGTCACTATTCCAGTTGCTACGTAATGACAGAATCAGATTTCCATGTTGTTTATAGCTACTGATTCAGTATAAATGGTGGGAGTCATAATTGATTTTATTTCCGAGCCATGCACTAAATGTTACATCCTTCTGCCTCTATTTTTGTGCCAATTAAGGGATTAAGTTTACTGATTTAACTACTTCTTGATAGAAATAAATTATTTTTTATTACCAATGTCCATTTCTTAACTGGAATTGAGGTTTCTAGACAAGGTGTTCTAGAAGGTGGAGAAAGGCAGGAGCACCCTGGATTAAAGACGGACGGAATCCTCGCTGTGCCACTATGGACCCTGAATAAGTGACTCAGTCTTTCTAATCACTTAATGAGAGGTACCTTTAAAAAAGATTTCAATTCTGAGAAACAATGATTTAGCGTCTTTACCACACAGCAGAGAACAGTGCAGTCACTGCTTCTTCACACTTCCTTCCACTGACACAATTAATGGCAGGCAACATCAGATACGTTTACCTCAAGTGTGAAATTTCTTAAACTTTGAAATTTAGCTGCATGTAAATCTTGATTTGTAATCTAACCACTGTTTATTTTACTGTAAAGATTTTTTCTTATTTCTTCATCTGAAAGTTAGATGAAGGCCTCTGTCTCCTCTAGGGAAAGCCTTGATACTTTACACCATGAAATAATAAACTGCCAGGTGACTTGAAACACTTACCTGTCAAACAGGCAGAAGGTCATGGTGGCTCCCAGCTGCAGTGTCCAGCTCAGCTGGAACAGGGCTCCATCTTAGGGGTAATACATACTGCTGACTTATACATACATAGTTCAGTGACTACTCGCTAACACTTACCTGTTTTTTAGCACAACCTTAGAAATAAATGATCTTGACACATTACGTTTTTCTTGATAATGCACCACTGTACCACACAACTGCCCCGACAGAAACTTTACTGCGTCTTTTCACTAAAATAGTATAGCATTATTCTGGGTAATCAATAAATATACAAAATATTAAATTATTAATATCCTATGGTTGAGAAAGCAGGGTGTGGGGGAGAATCTAATGCCAGAAGCTAGAAAGAAAACTTTAGAACTAAAGAATATTGAATTTGTAGTTCTGGCAGAAAGTAGCTTTTTCCTAGTTATTTGCTTTTGAACAAAAGAAATCAAAAAGAAAAAAAACCAATGAAACATGGGGCTGTGGATTACACAGGTTTGATTGCACTGATGAAATAATCCAAAAACTTTATTGACCTATAACCTGATTAGAATATGCCAGATGAGAATCAATATTGTACAGAAAGTTGTACAGAATTTTTTACATAGAAAACTTTACATCTGTACCATATACATTTTATCCATCTGAAAAAATTTCTACATCCACTGTTAATACGGAATGCTTGACAATCTTGTAATTTTTAACCATCAGAGCACAATTCACAGTATGAATACATTTCCAGTAAATCTAACCTCCCCAAACCATGCCAGAGTTATTTTAATATATTCAACATTAAGTTCTGTACACAGAATAAAATCTACATCAAGCCCCGCCACCCAAAAGAAAAAGTGACAGCAGCCTAGATTCATTTTGCAGTGATTCAAGTTCAGTCCATGAAGGATCATTCTATTTTAATGGCTCATCTTTAAAAGCCCTAAGAGAAGTATATTACAGGTAGTTATGTCAGCAGGGATATTTTCTACCCTTTTATTTGTTGTTGTTGTTGATCATGACAAGTATCGGCCACAACAGCTTCTGGGCATGTTAATCCTTCAAAGTTATCAACCCCCCCGAAAAGGGCAAAACAAAAATCCCCACAAAATAAAAAGACAAAAAGTTAACCCCAAATTTTTAGTGCATTTGACAAAATAGTATAGGTATTTAGCAAATGAATAAGAAAATAAAGAAAACAGTGCAAGAACTATATCATGTTTAGGATCTTTATATTACAGACCTGCGCCGTCTCTGTACATTTTTCACAGAAGGATGATTACCAGTATCTCAGGTAGCCTGAGTGTGCAAAAATTTCAGAATAAGAATACCATAGTTGCTAAATATCTTTTACCATGAACAATAATTTCTTCTCCCCCCACTCCCCAATTATAAACATTTTATCCTTCAAAATACAGCTCTCCTGAGTTGTACTTCCTACAGAAGTTCAAATCTTTACACCTATAGTTCTTTGGGTAAGTTTCACTTCCACACCTGCCAAAAGTATGTGGGGCTCTCCCTGCCACTGAGGCCAGGGAAGGACCTGTGAGCAGAGCTGACACTGGAAATGGGCTTTCTGCTCAACATGACACACAGGGTCCATCACTGAGAGGGCTGGAGGTTGCAAGACTGAGTTCTAGTTCTAAGCACTTTACCAGTCAGTAACCCTTAGACACTGAAATTCAGAGAAACCACTTTTCAGGTAGGAAATCTCAGCTCCAGGGTCCTTTTAAAGATCGGAGGGATGTAAACACCAAGAGAAAAACGCTAAGTTCCCATCACTGCTTGTTTAGTCCAAGTTCCTGTTCAGGTGGTTGTGATATCTGAAAAACCACTCCAATTCGCAGAAAAAATCTTCTAAGAACAGCACGAAGTTCAGGAATCAAGTCAAATTGCATAATTTCACATAAGAGAGGGTAGTAGAATGACGCGTGAGCTTTGAACTGGGAGGAAAAATGAATTTCTCCATTAGTAGTGCTTGCATTCGAAACCACCACCTAAAACTCCCTTTAGAGACAAATCACTGGGCCGAGCACTGACCGTGGTGTCAGACAGGGTGTCTGTGTGAAGCAGTGATGTGCTGATTGTGGAACTGAAAGACCAGAGGTTTTCAAGACTCACTTCATACAAATAGTCACTTAGTTTCTATCTTATTTTGATAAATTTGACAAACTTTTAGTATTTATCATTGTTTTTTCCAGGTAATAAAAGAAGGCCCAGCAGGAACCACGGTTGTTTTTATAAGCCATGTATCAGTTATTGAAACCATCTGTTGTTAAATAAAAATTTAATTTTCTGGGGAAATTCTACCTAACATTGCAATATAAACTATACAGTCTCCAGGCAAAGATTATACATCCCATATTCAGAGTCTGCAATTGATACACTTTGACTCTATCAAGCCAGAAATGCTGGGCGGGATACGCAGTCTCACACTTACCCTGTTATCACTTATCTTCAGAACTTTCGTTAGAAACAAAAGCAGTAAGTTAGTCCAGGCCTCCCGATGACTCTCTGATGTCAGAGTAAGGAAGTAACTCAGTGCTTCACTGCACACACTGCAACAGAAAAGGTTCACTCTTACACGTGCTCGTACACCTGCTGGCACACTCACCGAGCAAGAACAACTAAGACGTGGAGGGTAGCGAATATTTGACTATTGGGGACCTTTTTATATAGTTTGAAAAAGTCTCTAACTGGTTGCTGAGACTTTCTGTTCCCCAAGAACACACAAAAATACTATTCAGATGATGGTAGTCTT